CACTAAAATTAGTGGACCAAGGAAATGCTGTGGATATAGTATACTTAGATTTTAGTAAGGCATTTGATAAAGTAGACCACAGCCTACTTCTTGGTAAGACGTAACACTGTGGGATAGACAGTACCACTACCAGATAGATTTGCAGTTGGCTGACCAACCTCACTCAGCGTGTCGTCCTTAATGGAACTACATCTACATGGAAGAAATTGTGCAGTAGGGTAACTCAAGGTTCTGTCTTGGGCCCAGTGCTGTTCAACATCTTCATAAATGACCTAGATGAGGAGATTGAAGGAGCACTCATCAAATTTGCAGATGACACAAAGCTGGGGGGGAATTGCTAACACTTTGGAAGATAAATTCAAGATTCAGAGGGATTTTGACAGACTTGAGCACTGGGCCCTATCCAACAAGATGCAGTTCAGTGGAGAGAAAAGTAAGGTCCTGCACTTAGGCAGGAAAAACCAGATGCACAGGTACAGGATAGGCAAGATGCAGTTCAGTGGAGAGAAAAGTAAGGTCCTGCACTTAGGCAGGAAAAACCAGATGCACAGGTACAGGATAGGCAGTACCTGGCTCAACAGTAGTGCCTATGAGACAGATCTAGGTGTCCTAGTGGACCACGGACCACCATTTAAGTATGAGTCAGCAGTATGCTGCAGCTTCCAAAAAAGCCAACATACTCGTGGGCTGCCTCAACAGTGGGATAGTATCAAGATCAAGGGAAGTGATAGTACTGCTCTACACCGCACTGGTGAGGCCACATTTGGAATACTGCATCCAGCTCTGGTCACCACAATACAAAAAAGATACTGAGGCCCTAGAAAGAGTAGAGCAACAAAGGTGATAAGGGGTCTGGAGGCTAAATCCTATGCAGAATGGCTAAAGAACTAGGTATGTTTAGCTTAATGAAGAGAAGGCTGAGGGGAGGCATGATAGCAGTCTTCCAATAATTGAAGGGGTGCCACAAGGAAGAGGCCATTGATGTATTCTCCATAGGACCTGGGGGTAGGACAAGAAGCAATGGGTGGAAGCTCATCAGAGGGAGATCCAGCCTAGAAATAAGGAGGAATTTCCTGACACTGAGAACTATTAAGCAGTGGAACAGCTTGCCTCCAGCTTGTTGTGGGTGTTCCATTGCTGGAGGTTTTCAAGAAAAGATTGGAAAATCATTTGTCCAAGATGGTATGAGGACTCCTGCCTTGGGCAGGGGGTTGGACTAGAAGACCTCCAAGTTCCCTTCCAACCCTATAATTATATGAGTATATGATTCAATCCTTCACTCTAGATCAGTACAGGTGGTCCTCATTTAGCTGCCATAGTT